GAATTAAAAAAACCGACCTCAAAAGTACGTGGAATTACATCTATTTGCTAAGTTTTATTGAAATATCCCCTAGTTCGCCACTATACAGGACTTGACACTGGAGATAATAATAATCGGTTCTCACTACTCAAAGTATATTGAGAGAAAAACGCCTTGAATTGGAGAAATAGCACAATTAACCATTAAAATAATTGCTCCTAAATTAAAGTTAGGCGCTATTTATAAAAATGAATCTTCATGCGTGAACAACCACCCTTAAAGGTGGATAATTTCTTCAAAATGAAATTGAACCACTATGGAAGTACCTCCTTTCCAATAAAAAATAATCATGAAAATCGGTTCACAAATACCGGAGTTATCGCGTAATATACATACAAAAAAAGAGAACATACCAACAATACGCACCATTTAGAAAACTAACAAAAAGTGAGAACATAAAATAGTACATAGTATAGCACTAGGCGGATGAAACTCCTGTTCATCTTCTCACACAAAGTTACCCCCTGATGGGCGTACGAAACTCCATACTGGGAACGCACATGCCACAACCAGAGGACATAAAATCTGTCGGAACCAAGAAAGTTCTTCAGTTCTTCAATGATGTTGCTGACGTGCTCCAATTAAAACGCGGCTAAATCATAAAATATTTTTTTGAGATATCATAAAAAAACCATAACTTAGTTTTCAATACGGAAATTGTCTAATGATATTTCAGCTATGCGTCGTTAGGGTAAGTTCATGGTAAGTTCCGATAAGTCAAACACGAAGAGAGTTTTGTGCTCTGTCTTTTGCTATTTAGAATGGATATTTGACTATTTATTTATTTATAAGATAGCTGCCTTTTAGTCGGCCTTTGTTCCGAACTGTCATTAGTGGTGATCACAATAGATTAGCTGATGGTCGCAGTAATGAGGGGCTGCATATGCTCCGAATGACGTCACCCTAATAATAATAAAAGATAAAGTAGTAACATTTATCATACTTAAATAAATAAGATTTTTTTAAACTTCAAGTGACAGGAGGGACAAATTGTGCTCCTGGCGTTAAGAGACACACCTGTCTAAAGCAGATGCAGTTCTATTCAGAGCTTTAAATCGTACAGATCTGATGGACACTGCGCCTTTCACTCTGAGATATAAGTTAACAACTCCCCGAAAGACAGTGATGCTCACAGTACTGCTTGACGGCAGAAATAAATAAAATGGCAGTACTTCCCTGGACGAACTCTTTCACAAGAAGCTCTGCTGCTGGTAAATTTAAAACAAGACATATATTAGCTATTCAATTAACATCTTTAAACAGCCTTTACCAAACCATTTCGAAAAAATCTAAATTAAACAAAATGTATTTTTGACACAGCAGAAACAGTTGTACATTTAAATTTAAGTTAAACATTTTTTTAATAAACAAAGTTAAATACATAATAAAACTTTATAAGAAACACGAATGACGAAATGTATGAGAAAGCCAAAACCAACAACCTTGTATTAGTATGTAGAACTAAAAGAAATGTATGAAAAAATGACAATGGAACAATTTTTTCATTTTGAAAATTACCTAAAATAAAAAATAAAATAACCGGCCACACTTTTGAAAAACACTGCATTATTTGGGGTTTTTACTAATATTCCGGTAAATACTATGTGTATATATGACACTTTAGCTTTTTTACCGTACGATAGGTATATATAATTCCTGTCTGTAATTGTTGTCTCCTCTTTCTCCTGGGGTCACCAGGAACATCCAAACCAGAACCAAATTTTTTTTTTTTTTTTCAAATTGGTTCTACCGGGAATCGAACCCAAGACAGCCTATCCAACGCCAACAGTGCAAATCTTTGTATGGCACAAATGTTATTGTCAAATCACTAAATTACGTTCAATTTTAATTAGGTTTATTGAATGTCACAATGTTTCACTATCATGATGTTAAATTATTTATTTGTGACACTATTCCACTACGTTGTTATAATTATTAAAACGAAGTTCGAACATTTCGAACCAAAGTCTTCTAGCAAACCGTGGCAGACGCTATGACAGCTAAGCCACGGAAGAACTAACGGATCTTACGATTTCTGTGCTTGTTTCAAATCTTTGTTTTTGGTGTTTTAATGACTTTTACATCATAGCGCCATCTGTGAGAAATCTATGAAAGTTTTTCTTCACTCAGCCAGGAACCTTTACAGCTACCAGCGGCTGATCAGAGCTGTCGCTTTTATTGTAAGTAAGTTGATTAAACTAAGTTGTTAAATTATTGAATGTCAGGATGTTTCATGATATTTAATTATTTTTTAGTAAATTACTCCACTAGTTTGCTACGATACGTCTAGTCTTGTATAATATTCTATTAGTTCTACATGAAATCGAATCTGAAACCTCCTCATCTGTCGCCCAAGTATGTCTATCACACAATATAATGCATACTGAGTTTAAAACAATACAACTAACTAAATCTAACCAATCTACCACGTTTCACTCACTGCCCATACTTCCTATAGGAAACGTAAATTACTGCGTTACGTATATATTTGCGTTCACGTTACGATTTTACGTCACAGAGACTTCAGTTGGTTTACGGATATAATTACACACAGACGTGAATTTTCTTTTTTATAAAAATAACAAGGTGCAAAATCGTTTAGCTTTAAGTGCGAATTTCTGTTATGTTACTGTGTGAAGATTTTATTCGTGTTTTTTTTATGCAACGAAGTTGTGTAGTCGGAAGTCTGAGCTGATTTAAACGAAAATTGTTACGAAATTGGAAATTGTTTGTTTACATTGTTCTAGTGTGTAATTTATTACGTTTATGTAATAATAATTTTATATAACTAAAAAAGAACTATTACAAATAAATTTATATAACTAGAGATGCATTAAAACTCATAAAATTCATTAAATTCTGATCTAAAATTTAATTAATGTATAAATATGTACATATTGCTATAAACTAACAAAATGACTGACAGTTACGTAATATGTAATATATAATATAAAAAAATAATGAGAACCATTGACCTAGGTCAATGAATAGAACTACAAATTTAAATTTTCTATATTTTTTTTAATTCCAACCCGGTAATGTAAAATGCTTTGGAAGAATATAATATTAATTGTTTTAATAATAGTAATGATTGGGTCGAGTGCTAAAAAGCGTAAGTTTAAAAAGACAAATAAAGACAAGGCTAAGAACATAGAAATGACTCCGGCATGGGCAAAGTTGCCTTGGAAGAAGTGGGCGAACGAAAATAACAATACAGGTGCGTGATCACTATTCCGATATATTTCATTTTCCACAGGAGATCACAGTTTGGGAGCTAGATAATTATATCTAAATTCAATTGAAACAAACTGTGTACAATCATCTCCTTCAACAGAAATTTCCTCTTCATTGCTGCAAATGATTTATTAACAGTGAATCTCATTGTGAATGAATTAATGAATGAAATGAATGAATGAAATATTCTTTATTGCACATAAAATTACAATTAAAATACAATACAATATAGCTTAAGTAGAATAGTAGTAGTAAGTCAATGTGCAACAGGCGTTTGTGCATGAATTCGTCCAGGGAAGTACTGCCTACCTTACCCACTTCTGTCGCCAAGCTGTTTCAGAGTTTTGAAATTGGTGAAATTACAGGCACGTTTGGACTTTTCAACTTACGTCTCAAGATGGCGGACGCAGTGGAAGTGCTCCTCAGATCTTTGCGATTTTTAACTCTGAGCGACGCTGCAATTGTTATGAACAGGCGTGTCGCTTACTTTTTTTTATATAACATCACAACGTAACATCGCGATGCAACGTAAAAGTCTCTAAAGTAAGCGCCTGTTGGTAAGCTACACGCCTGTCCATAACGGTTACAGTGCCACTCAGAGCTTGAAATTGCAAAGCTCTGAGGGGCACTACCACTGCGCCCGTCACCTTGGGATATAAGTTGACAAGTCCCATGTGCCTGTAATTTCACCAGAATTTTACTTATCAGAATGTTCAGAAAAATGGAGGATAGACGAACTGCACATGCAGCGGAAATTCGAATGTTGAGATGGAAGTGTGGAGTGGCGGAAAAGATGAGGAGTAATAGGTTAGCGTGGTATGGACATGTCATGCGGAGGGAAAATGTCATGTGACGAGAAGAATGTTAGGTATGAATGTGGAGGGATATAAGGGAATAGGAAGGCCAAAAAAAGATGGATGGATTATGTGAAAGATGGCATGAGTAAGAAATGTGTGAGTATGGAAATGACGGCTGATAGGCTTTAGGGGAGAGTTGAAGAAAAATACATGTTGTGCTGACGTCACCTAGCGTGGAATAAGGACAGGAAGATGAGGAAGCTTGTCACTTACCACCAGGCGCACGAATTGTTCGACCCGTCACTTGGTATTATAAAAACAAAGTATTTTTCAGATCTAAATCGGACACGACTTAACCATAGAACCTGTTACGAGCCCAGAACATTGGTTCATTTGAAAACACGCGATTTTAGGTCCGTAAAAAATGATTTCGTTTTCAAATTGAATTTCGCATGTGAATTCCGAAAATCTAAGAACTATACTAGACCACCATGATATTCAATTATTTTTGTGAAATTACTCTCTAGTTCATTATAATTATTAATACAAAAATCAAACACTTAAAAAAATTCCTCCGATCCGGCTGGATTCGAACCAATGTCTTCCAGCAAACCGTGCAAGACTTTATGCCAACTAAGCCACGGAACGAACCAGCGGATCTTACGAATTTTTCTTTGTGCTTGTTGCAGATCTTTGTTTTTTGTTTTTAACGACATTTGCCGTAGCGCCATCTGTGAAAAATCTAAGAAAGTATTTCTTCACTCAGCCAGGTACCTTTATAACTACGACTGGATACGTCGCTTTATAATTGTAATTTTTAAGTTTAGTGATTATCACGACGTTTGACCACCATAATATTCAATTCTTTTTGTGAAGTTACTGCACTAGTTTGTTATACGGTAAATAATGACCTGTTTTCTTTTTTTCTAGGCTGCGGTATTGCTACCAGCAAACAGCAGGCGCAGCGACGCATTGTGGGTGGAGACGATGCTGGGTTCGGAACTTTCCCCTGGCAGGCGTACATCCGCATTGGATCTTCCAGGTTATAATTGTCCACACTACTTATGCGGTTTTAAGGTTGATTATAATGTTTGTGCTTTGTTTTGAAGAACGGCGCGGGGCGGGCGCAGGTCGGGTCTCGCGCCCGTCAGTGGTGTGGTCATACACGGAATTATATCGGCCATGCTCCCGAGCCGACACGCGCCCGCCTCGCACTCGCTGTCAGTGTGTTTCGCGCTTTAGTGTGATAGACAATATCTTAACCCTAAATATGACTATACATTTTTGTTACATTATGACTAACTGAGTTTAACTTTTAAAATGATTTAGTGTTTATTTCAGCTAATTTTGATAAAATCATTTTTATAATTTTCAATTTCTTTTTTCCTGCAAACGAAGTAGGTTCCTAAAGGGCGCCTTCAAATTAAACTGACTGTGGCAATTCATTAATATTTAGTTCACTTATTATGACCGTAAATATAGATAATGAAGATGTCTTAAAATTAGTTAAATTTTCTGACACTTCGCGGTTTTCATTTGCGCCACGGTGAATTTTCTCGTAAAAAATATGTCAGATAATTAAAATATTAAAGACACTATGACCAAATTCGGATGCTCCTCGTGACACTATCATAGGGATGAGGTAAAGTCGACAGATTTTTAGTGTATTTGATTTTTTAAGCACAAGTACACTCTTAGCGCGCTTACGCACTACGTCCGGTTCGTGTCAGTTCCGAATCCGAGAAATGACAGTCCGAAATGTCACTGGGATCATTTTATCCGTAGGTGTACAAGCGACATTCGTATTTTCTCGGATTGGTATCGGACTTAGTGCATAAGCTACATCCGAAGTGGGTCCAAGTTTTCTAGATTTGATAGTCTCGGATTAGAAACGCATGCGAATGGGATGCAGTGCGTATGCGCGCTTATATTTTTATTTCCCTGACAGATTCTGAACAATGTATAGGACGTGTTTTGTATTATATTGAATGCATAAAACACACAACTATAATTCAAATGCAATTTCAATAGATATTCCAGTAAATTTCAAAAAACGTTTATGGTTTTTCATTTATAACTTTTAAAAGAAGTGTAACACTAACATGTCAATTCATTGCCTATGATTAATTAAAATTCATACTTTAAGAATTAATTCACGCACTATTTATTAATTACACTAGCGATTTTTTTTTTGTGTACCTCATCTCTAAATACCAAATGCATTGTGACGAAGTAACCATTTGCTCGTTGTCATAAAAAATTAATGAATTTTAGAAAAAAGAATAATTTCGCTCATTTCTTACAAATAAACGTTGATTTGATGTTATTTTTACTTTAATTTCATGTATTTAAATATTATTTTTTTCATGTATCCCATAAGCGACGATCGTGTTAGATTTCATTTTTTTAAATTTCGAATTTCGAAAAATAAATGTCGAGTTGTGTCGTAAAATTATTCATTCCATACATTTTACAACAATGTACAGCAATAGCTCCTTAAACGTAATTATGAATTAATACGAAACTTGATGAGCAGACAAACGTCGAAACGGCCATCATATCGTGCCAGTATTATAATTATCTAACTGTCTACAACTTAGATGTCAAAGCGTAATAACATTTGACGCCATTTGCAAAAATTAAGGCACACTCACATGGCATTACTTTTGCGCCATCTGCTATACAAGAGACTTTTATAGAGTTAAAAAAAAATTATTATGATTTGGTAACTTTCTAGACATTGGTGCCTAAATTTTTTTTTCTTTGAAAAATGTGAAACAAAATATAAAATCCGCTTGTAGGACATTGTAGACCTCGTTTTGCTTATTCCAGGTATGTAAATAACTCAATTTCGCTAAACGACAAATTGACGATGAGGTCGACAATGGAGCACCTATATAATGCATACTCACTGTCACGTTGCCTAATTTTATTCTTAGTTTTCAAGACGATAGAACATTTTTTATATATTTTGGGAAGCCTGGGAATATTAATTAATTAATTACAGTCTAATGTTTTATCTACATATTGTTATTTGAATGAAGATTAAACCACGAAACACTGTAATTTTAACGACATTGTATAAAATGTACCATATTGCATGAACACTAAATCACTCGTGTCGTTAACAACGTACAGGATAAAAAGTAAAAAATTGACAAAATATACTCATGGACATATTTAGAGGGATGATAATAAAGCTTGAATTATGATAACAACGTTCATATTACGAACTACTGGCCATATATACATAGGGCGCACTATAAGTTTCCGGAACTGGCCACTCACATAAACAATATTTAAAAAGTAATTACAACTTTTAAAATGAAACCTTTGTTTACCAGACCAGAATTTAAACGCGGTCGTGTGAATCTCAGTGACGAATTTCATGATGATCGCCCGTCCACTGCTGTCAACAACAAAAACATCGATGCTGTGCGCCATATGATCAAAACAGACATGCATGCATGTGACATACCATAAGTCAAATACAATCAAATACTACACAAACATTTGGGTGTGAAAAAGCTATGCTCTCGGCGGATCCCACACAATTTGACTGAAGCTCAAAAAACGGATCGCGTCATTTGTTGCAATTTCATGCTTACCAGATTTAACGAAGGGGCGTCAAATTTGGTTGGAACATAGTAACAGGTGACCGAACATGAATTTATAGTTACGATCCCAAAACAAAGCAGCAATCGAGCTTATGAGTCTTTCGAGATGACACGAAACCAATCAAAGTGGCGCGCGTGCAAAGTGCCTCTAAGCGGACGATTGCTTCTTTTTTAGTAAAACTGGACACGTGGCTACTGTTGCTTTAGAGAATAGTTGTACCGTAAATAGTGATTGGTACACGATCATTTGTTTGCCGGAAGTTATTGACAAACTCCGTAAAAAAATCCGTAAACGCCGTATCATCTTGCACCACGATAATGCCAGTTTTCACACGGCCAAACAGACAAATGAATTTTTGAAGGTGAACAACGTTGACCTTATGAGCCATCCCGCGTACAGTCCCGACCTGGCACCTTGTGACTTATATTTATATCCAAAAATTAAGAACCAGTTATGCGGTCAACGATTTTCATTACCTGAAGAGGCTGTCCAAGAGTATGACAAATATGTTTCAGAGATTGTCACGGAGGAGTGGCATAAATGTTTTCAAAATTGGTTCATTCGTATGAAAAGTGCATTAACGCTAACAGAGAATATTTTTAGAAACAATAAATTCATTTCTGACCACTTATAGCATTTTTTTCTTATTCATTCCGGAAATTCATAGTGCGCCACACGTACATAGTTTTATCGAAATCAAAAGATGATAGAAGTCATTCTTTTTTCAAATTATCATAATTTTTATTTACTATTTTTACAAACTTGACGCTGGCGTAATCCTAAACAGGGCAGCACCAATAAGCAAAAAAAGAAGAATGATGACGAAATTCGAGATATTTTATACTAAATTTCCTTTGTACTGAATTCTACTTATCTTTACACTATTTAGTCTAAAGTTTGACTAATTCGAACAATATTATTATCCTGTACGAAAATGTATTATCATTCCACCGTTACTAATAACCATATCAAAGTACAGAAGACCACACGCAAACCGTAGAGATCATTTTGAGTCATAAATTTGACAGTTTCTTTACTTCATAATGTAGTCTACTGTACTTGATTGTAATCATAGACTTTCATTTGTCATTTCCATCATGTGTGTGTGTGTAAAAATTAACCTTATTAACTAATCATAATAACGATTAATTTCAGATGCAACATGCTTATGTCGATTTTCGAGCTAATTGGTTGGAAGCAGTGTTGGATAGAGAGGTAAATGTGCGAAAGAGATAGCATGATGTTTCTAGTGTCACCTTAGCTGTATGGTGTATAGGTGTGTCAAAATTGGAGAAAAGCTGTAGAGAATTTACGCTTATATTTAGAGTTCTATATCAAAAATAGAATCATGAGCATCAGAAAGAGACCATCGGCAGTAATCGGCTACACTCGTACCTGTAGAGAGCCATTTCCATAAAATTAGCAATAAAATGTCACACAGGTATGAGTGACAGACACAACGCTCTACAAAGCCGAAATCAACCCGACGTCTTTTTCTAAAATACATACGGTCTGTAGTTAGTTTTACACTTATAGGGTTCGTAAGTTCTACTAAGAATAAAATACACATACTGTACTATTGTTTAACACTACACAACCATACATTACAGTATAATTAATTACACTATTACGCCTTCTATAAATAAATATAGTGTAATGCGCTACATAGTGTAGTACGATGCATTAATATTATATACTATTAAATACACGAAACATAAATTTAGACAAGTAGTTATAATATTTTTTTATGTAATTTAAAATATTAACGGAAAAGAATTGTTTATGTCAGAACGGTTGTGCGCGGCAACAGCGTTCGGAAACATTCGTGGTTTGCGAGTATTCTCGAAGTTGATTCAACAATGTTGGATATTCACAAAAAAAATACAGACTGAATTCGGAGACCCGTCTCCAAGCAGTAGGACGTGTATTACGTTGATGATGATTATGATAGAATATGAAATTCTGAAATAAACTCGGTAAATCCATTTTCCGTTAAGATTTTGTGTCCATTCGTGATAGTCTGACACCTAGGCTTTTAACAGATTGACTGCATGTTTGTAGTTAATGTGTGATTAACTGCATTTAGTCGATCTCAGCTGCGGGAAGTCGGTTTCGACTCCATCCAGTTAATGCGTGACGTCGTTATCCGAGACCTCGAGTGCATGAAGGTAATAACTACTTCACGCAGAAACAGACTTTATGCAGCCGAGATCGATTGCATGCAGTTAATGCGTGAGGCCACCGGCTTGGCCGCCGACCTGCCGCGAGGGGTGGATGCGCCATCACATGAATATAAGTTTTTTTTAACCGGCTTAATGCCATTCCGTGTCGTGGTGATTTCCTAAGGGTCAGCGCAAATCAGGGGACTGCAAGGCAGATTTTAAATTTATCAATTTATATGTTCTACTATTACAATTGCGATAA